AGATGTAGGAGATTTTTCCACAGTGTATCCCATTTTCTCTCTCATTCTTTTAGGTTTTCTTCTCTCATTATCTATCAGTAGAAATGGGCTATTTACCACCACTGGTTTCTTCACTACTCTGTTTGGCAAGGCCCTCCAGTGGCTCAGCTGCAAGTCTGAAGGCTTATAACGCTAAATACTGGGCTTCGATACCTGTGGTGGGCACAGCACAGATAACCCATTGTGTAGCAGTGCACTTAACCCTATCAACCTGGGTGCACTTTATTGCGCATGACACAAAGTTTTAGTGTCTTACATTCAAACTTTTATTAAACTACTTTTTGTTTATGTTATATCAATTAGAATAGCATAAAATCTAAGCTAATAATCTATATTTTAATAGTATATAAGTTTTAAGTTCTTAATTCTACAAGGAAATATGTAAAAAAATCCTGAATTTTGTTTTAGGATGTCATCATCCCTATTTTATCCATCAACCCTCGAAAATTTACGAAATTAAACACAAAACACTCTATAAAATCATTATTGCTCATAATTTTTATAGCCTTCAGTTTTGTTTGGTTACAGAGCTATCAAATAGAAAATGAGACCCCTCCTGCCACATTCACTTGTCACATCCTCTCTTTCACAATTCGTTGATAGTTCTCTCTTACGTTTTATTATATATTACCTATAACCAATAAAAAGTCAAGGTTTTTATCTACCAAATGGCATATTGTATAACATTGTGTTCTGAACAGATAACCGTCAATTTCACTCGGAGTAGCAACATCGTTACCGTGGGAAAGTTAACGACTAGCTTGGATGAATTTGTAATTGTTAGAAAGGCAGGAAAATTTTTAGAAGTAAGTGAATTTGTCTACTTTTTGCATGTTATTAGTCTATATTCTTTGGTATATTACTTAATTAGATAAATAGTTGAGTGCTTTACTATAATCACTAAAAAAATCAGGCTTAACTCTCCTCAACAATTGAGGGCAAGAAAAAAAGAAGATTGGGTATGTACTTTATTTGTTTTTTTTCATATTTATTCTTTATTTATTATTATAAAAGTAACTAAAATTAAAAGTACGGATCGTTTTAAGTTATTTAAGACTAGATTAGGTAAAATAAGTAATAATGATAATATAATTAAAACGGTTCACAAGGCACACACTCGTGGGTAATGTAATTCGATAGCGTAACGTGAGCTGCATGTTCTCCAAGTGATTAACAACTTATAATGGTGGGATAGGAGTTAGACACAGTTCAAAGGACAATAAAAAGGAGCAATAAAACAATAAAATTTAATTATAAATAGATGTATAATGTTATGAACTAAGAGCTATTTAGGATAAACGAATGTAGTTTCAGGTTACAATTTGAAGTCATTCTAGAAAGAAAAGAAAGTTATTTAGGTTTATTTCGATTTTTTTGGTGTTTACGAAGTCGGTCAAATTGACCGATCTTGTTTTGAGTTAGGGTAGTGAAAGTAACATAAAAACTATAAAGATTTAGTGAAAAAAAAACGTTTGAAATGCATTTAGGAGGTTTTAGGGATTACACAAAGGAAATTTGAGATTTTGAGATGACAAATAGTATTTTTAATGTTAACATGAAAATTACTTTGCACACGGACTATTCAAAACAAATACTTCACTAAGAAATATGACTTTTTGTATGTGAAAGGCTTGTAATATTAACTGAAAGACTGCCAAATTTCATGACGATATGCCCAATATATAGATAGTTATAAGTATTAAATTTATATGAACTTTAAACGAGTACAAAAGGTCACCTGACTCGGTGAAATTGACCAACCCAATGTTGGGAGAGTTAATAACAAACAAACAGATCATCGTATTCTTTTACATCTTACTATTTTCTTTACCTGGTTTTTTTTTAACAAAGGCTTCTCTGTCTTGACCACTGCAGGTTACCTGATGGCATTGCCCACAACCTTCCACCTGTTACCAGGAGATAACCCCATCCTTTTGGCTATTCTCACAGGCCTCTTAAAGAACTTTTTTTTCAATCACCCCCTCGTACAGGCCGTCTTCTCAATTGGGACATTTGGGTGGTTCTTTGGCCTCCTGCTCTTTGTATCATTATCTCTCAAACCATATTTTCTTCTCCTTGCTTGTGATAATTGTTATTTTGACATTTATACCTTAGATGCCAGCCATACTCTCTATCATAGGGAGTATTTGATGTTATTTCCAGACCAGTCCTTTCTTCTGAACACCTAGGCTCCCCTGGATGGTGATCGGAGATTGGATGATTCTCTCTTCCCTTTTATTTCCTCCTTGTATGATCATTCCAATCTTAATTGTCTTTTGTGTCCTGTATGGGCTGTTCATTGCTATCTTGCTTGCACTGCCTTTTTTCATGGAAATTGCCATTACCTGTTTTTACTGTGGCAGACTTCATCCTGTTGGATCTTTTCCAATTTAATTGGTTCAGTTTGCCAGCTCATCTGTTTTGCATATTCTTCTTTGTGTGAGTCTGACCATACACTCTTTTGTGTCCATTTCCACCAGATTTGGCATATCACAGCCTCTCTTGTTTCTTTTTTTGTCACCAGGCTTTGAAGATCTTACAGGCTGATGTATGGACTATATCTAACAAATTTATTTAGCATTACTTGCATTACTGGGTGGTTTTATGTGCTTTTGATTTTGGTTTTCACTTTCTTCCAGTTGCCATATTACAGTCTACCCAGAAGCTCTAATGTGGTGAGCTTTGTCTATTGTATGTTTTGCAGTCATCTCTATGTCATTCATATGTTTCATGGCACCTCCATGTGTGTAACATGATTTTTGTACACATTCCAACACATTGCTGGTTCCTCAAAATAAGTAAAAAAGGGAACTAGAGAATACAAGACTTACCAGATCAATTTTTATATGAGGAATTATACCCTAATACTTATGCTTAGTGCTTTTGGAACTCACTGAGTGGCTGGCATTGCCCTTGATGGGGATCCAATTCCAGATGATTGTGTTTGATGAAAGTAGTTCAAGCACACCCTCTGGTGTTCTCCCCACTGTTATCCTATAGGAACGTGGGATATTCCTTACTTTCTCAGTTCAAAGCCACTGGAAATGTCAATATGGAGAGTTTTCCTTTGCGAGTGGTGTCTTCACCCACTAAGAGACTGGTTGGGCTTAACCCTCATTTAAGGTATTGGGCTGGAGTGTTCCCAGTATAGGACACCCCATTATCATATCTCTGGATGGGACTTGAATATGCCTCGAAATGCATGTGAGAGCTCCTCCTCTCCCCACCTGTCATTATAATATCTATCTCATATAAGTATTTCACTAAGATGGAACAGCCTAATGCCCTAGCCACACTACACACACACACACACTAACGTTCCATCCACCTTTGCAGTCAGTTACTACTGGAACTGGATTTATGCAATGTCTTTACTCTAAATCTCTGTAATCTAAAGGAAATATTTCAATGAATAAATAACAAAAAGTTGGGCAAAGAGTATTCCCTGCTTGAGAAGGATGCAGTTTCCCACCAGATGCTGCTCTACTAGTTGACCCCTGGACTTATGGAAGTCATGCTCCATTGGATTTCTCTTTCTGCTGCTTTTTTAGAAAGGAGGAGCTCATCTATGTATTTGCTTGGCACAGGCCCCTTCACCATTTTCAGTTTGCAATTCTAGCTCTTAGTAGTGCAGAGAGAGAAGTATCATTTCTGAAGATAATGTTTTCCTTAACTGAAAATGTATTTCAGGTACATACCTGCCTCTCTGCACCACCTTCCACCCCTTCCTCCCCACTTTTGATGCATTTTCTTTGCTTCATCATGAATGTTCCTGTTATCGTGTGTTATTGCTCATAGGGATTACTGCACATGGTGGTCGTGTCACTCTCCTGTTGGTGGGGGGCTCAAGCATTATGATGATTGTGTCATGAGCTGGTGCAGTACATGTAGACATGTGTAGGGGTGGCAGCTTGTTCAAGGCTTGTGGTATACACAGGAAATTCTCTGGCAGTTGCATGCAATGTAATAGCTCTTAATGGTGCAGAGAGGTAAGTCTTTATCTGAAATACATTTTCATGTAAGGAAATGTTAGAAGTATATTACTTCTTATTCTATAAAGTTGATTATTTGTGGCTAAACAGAGTTAATTTTCAGTTTTTTTGTTAGTGTGATTTATGAATTTTTGCCTTTTAATGTCCATTTGGAATTATATTGCTTTTTACACTGTGATTACACCTTAGAGCCTAAAACAAAATCAATATAAAGCTGATTACTGTGCTAACTAGATATTTTTTGTTCACTATTATCATGATGTAGTTTGTCATAATGATTAAAAATAACATATTTTTAAATAATCTGCTTTGTTTCAAAACATGTATAATGCTCTATTTGAAAATTGATAGATAAGTATTCAACTTGAATTAAACCATAAATTTAAGCAAAATAAAAGTCTGAAAATTCATGATCAGTTCTAGCATTTCACAGGTCTTAAAATGTATGAACTGAATCATATTAGTCAAGAGCCACCTAATGTTTAGAACTCTCATATTTCTCTGCACAAGTAGAGCACTTAGATTTATGAATAACAAATGATACTTTGTTCTTAAGTGGCACATTCTTAAAATCTAAAATGTATTATTCTAGACATATATATATATAAATTGGTTTTTTTGGTACATCAAACTTCAAACCTTTAGGGGTAGTCAGTAGTGAAGTTAGCATTTCATTGATATTCTATCAAACTCTACTTTTCAGAATTTCTTTTGTGTAAATTATTTCATCATGCAACATAGATTAATTGCTTAAACTCTCATAAGCACGATTAATGTGCACTATCACCAGATCAAATGTTTTAGAAACAAATCTGAAATGGTTTAAATATTAGTGATTGTCTGATATGAACATTTAAATTACAGGTTTTTGCATCAAGTAAGCTAGAATAAAAAATATGTAATTTGCTGAAATTAAATATCTACTATTCTTTAATAACAGCCCCATCATGAATGCATATTTTGTTACAGGTTAGAAGACTTTGCAAAACAAATGAGTTTGGATCTTGTTTACATTCTTGCACAGTCTTGTTTACCATCTCTTCCTCTTTGTCGAACAAACACTATTAGGAAGTTATCTCGCCAGGAATCACTGAATTATTTTGTTAGTGACCTAGGTATGAGTGGATGATTTTATTTTCTCTTTTACATATGTGTGGAACTATAAAGAAGTTTTTAGATAAAAGTTGTCTTTTTAATGAGCTGTCAGAAGGCTCTTACATTACTACTGGTGACCTTTTTGTTTTCACTTGAATTGTATGTGTATATTTTATTAACATTCTCATGTTTGACTGACTGCTCCATAGGTAATGCTTTGGTCCTGAACAGCTCTTTTAGAAGACTACAGGATGTATCTCTAGATCCAGTGAATGTAGCTCAGTCACTTATTGCCCAGGTTATTAATATCATGAATGGTAAGTATTTTTCAACTTGAATTATGAGAATATTTTAGTGGTTTTTCTATATCTCCAAAGTAAAAGCTTGTAGAAACTATACAGAATATTGGAAAATAATTGTATGAAGAAATATTTCTTTATATATTGTTCATCATAGTATTGTACAACTCAATTTTATTACCCTGCATTGTTGTGTTATGTTTATGACAAAATAGTTTTATTGTTTTACTTATTATACTGAAAAACATAATAATTGTGCATTATTGTGTAGTATGTACCAATTTACTGTTTAATTTGAAAATGTGAAAATAAGGGTGAGAAAGAATGAAGAGTTTAAATCTTTCACAACCGGTGCTATGTAAATTTACTTTTGAGTGCTTATTTTATCCAAAATTTAATTTAGGAATAAAATTATAATATACAGTACTGTGCAAGTGTTAGGACAAAGTCAAAAATTAGATTTCAGGCTACTTTCAAAGAACAATGAAAGGTAAATCACAGGTGAAACATCAAAATATTATTAATCTTCATACTTATTACAAAAGAAACTCAGTGGAAGTGCTTGAGTTCAGCAAACAGTTAATATTCAGGCATTGTTGCATCATATTTAATCAAAATGTTCTATGGGATTTCACTCCAAATGTCTCTAATACACTTCCATAAAGTTTCTTTAGAAGTAACTTTTATATTGTCAAGTTTTTGATCTATCAAATCCCAGATCTATTCAATTGGGTTGAGATCGGGGCTCTGTGGGGACCATTGCATCATTTGAATGACTCCAGCAACTTCTTTATTAGCTCAGTAATTTCTGCATAGGTTGGATGAGTGTTTGGGGTCTTTATCTTGGTAGTAGAATCCTTTACCAATAATACACAAACCACTGGGTATACCATGACGGATCAGTATCTGATGGTACTTGCACTGGTCTATTATTCCATCTATTTTACAAATATCTCCTGTCACCTGAGCAGAAAAATGCTTCTAAGCCATCACAGTGCCTTCCCCATGCTTCATGGTAGGTGCTATGCATTGAGG